CCCTCGATCATCGAGAAAAGGGGAAATAAGATCTTGATTTGCTTTCATGACGAACACATCTTTTCTTTTCCAATCTACGAATTTCGTCAGAGAAATATTGCTTATAATGGGCCAATATGAAGCCAATATCCTGCCAAGATTCGCGCTACTCGCGATTGTTAATTTGCCTTTCTCGCGTTGCTATATTGCTACCCTTGAGATTTGAACAAAAATGTTCTATTATTTAACAGATATAGTTGATACAGAACTGAGAGAAAAACATAAAAAATTGGATTAGATTTGTCTAATTTATTGATAATTTTGTATTGATTGCCAATGCATTTTATTTTTGAATCGTATGGGGGCATATCCGTTATTGTGCGCGTGCACAAAAAAATTCAACTGCAAATAATTTAAATTTCCACTCATACTGTAGACGCGGGCTAAAATGGAATATGAGGGATCACATGTATTCAGAATGTAATTGATAATTGATGTCTGAAAATATAGGATATGTTTCCTTAGCTCATTTTGACCCTTTAACGCTCTCTGGCAGCTAATTCTACCGCTGAACATTAAGGGTCAGAATCAGGCTATTTGAATTCAAACGTCGACCTGAATAGCAGTAATGCATGATCACGATAACAACGTAAGCTCGCTGGGCGATTTGATAGTCAGTGTTACACTGTATGCGTTACAGGACGGTTGTACACGTGCGTCTGGTCGATTAGGCTACCAACGGGAATTTGTAACACATAAAAAATCATTAATTTTCTTCTGGAGTAACTTTCATGCAATATTTTGAATTGTTCACATTATTATATGCATTTGTGTTTTGAATTATTGGATGAGTATATTCATATAGTAACATTATAAGTCAAATTAGTTATGGAAATACATTGAATTCTAGTAAAAAACGGATAATTTCTAGTGATGCGAATATTATCTGTGACGAACATCGAATTTACAAAAAATGATTTTCGAGCCATTATATTTATGTGCTCGGAAGTACTGGGCAAAATACGAAATTTATTCCCCACCCAGCTTTCTTCTTCTTCTTCAATCCATATCATTTTCAGTGTATTCCCATAGTAACATTCTATTTCTGAATGAAATAATGATAAATTATACTGCTTAGAGTGACCATGGAAGGAAAATTCAAGAATTTCAAAGAAATCCATTCCCAAAGAAGACCATTATCAGAAGAGGAGCTGTTTGCTGCCCTTCATGAAATAACTGAACAACAAGCCGAAAATTCTGATATCGGAGGAGATTCGGAAGCAGATGATGATCTTGAAGAAACATCTTCTACTTTGACCAGATCTTCCACTGCTACTCCGTGTGTTACTCCTGGGCCATCTACTCCTACAACTTCAACCGTTTCATGTGGAATGATTAGCAAGAATTTTGTCGAATGCCAAACAAGGAACACATAGTTCTGCAGTAATTAGTGAAGAGCCAGAAGATGATTTCGACTCAGATGATTCCATAGCCGATTCCTCATAAGGACCAGAAGATTCAAGACCAATCTCACTGTAAAATATCCTAGCTTCGGACAAAAAATATATTCATGAAGATATCGATATTCAGGAGTCTACGTAATAAAAATATAAATGGACTAATACTGGCTTGCTTCCTGAAAGAACCTGAATTTCACTGGATATATGCACTCGGAAGTCGATATTCAAACAGAAGAACCGATTGATTTCTTCAAAATTTTTGTGACGGAAGACTTCGTCAGTAAGATTGTGCAGGAATCTGATATTATGCAGATCAGAAAGGGAAACCTCTGGATACACAATCGGAAGAACTATCAGCCTTTCTCGGAATTGTCACCGAGATGGGTTTTAATGTCTTGCCAAGTCAAAGAAAGTATTGGTCAACTGATCCTAACTTTGACCATTCAAGAATATCGAACGTTTTTTCAAGACGAAGATTCTTGCAGTTATTGAGATTCATTTATATCAACGATAATACGAAGATGCCAAAACCAGGCAATGCTGGGTATGAAAAGCAATACCAAATCCGACCAATGCTAGACCACTTATTTGAACAAGTTTTCAGAGAATCGTTCAGCTCGAGTCGTTATCTATCAGTAGATGAAAGTATGGTAGCATTTACTGGTCGATCATCGCTGAAACAGTACATGCCCATGAAACCCATAAAAAGAGGTTTCAAGGTTTGGGCTTTGGCCTAGGTGAACGTGTTATTCTGAATCTGGCAGAAGATTTCAGGGGCAAAGGTCATTTTGTATATTTTTTGATGATTTTTTTTCTACGATACCATTACTAGATAAACTGGCAAATATGGGACTATTTGGCTGTAGTAAAATACGTCAAACCGGTAAGCATTTTCCAAAAGATAAATTGCTTGTAGATAAGAAAATTCCAATGGGACAATCAGATTTTACCATGTCAGGAGACATTTCCATATATGAGTGGAAAGATCGGGGAGTCAAATGTGTTACAGTTTGTAGCACAACGGTGCAGACATGAGTACTGTTCTGAGAACCAATAAATTCGGTGAGCGTGATGTTGTCAGATGTCCGCAAGCTATATTGGATTATAATATGTACATGGGTGGCGTTGATCGCTTTGATCAACGAATGGCTTCATATAATATTTCATGGAAGAGCAGGCGTTATTGAATGAAGCTGTTTTATTATTTTTTAGCTGCTGCTATAGTGAATGCCTATATACGATACCAGATTACTGTCAAACAAAAATATCCACGAAAAAAATTGATGACACATTTGCAGTTCCGCAGCAGACTAGCAGATCAATTGATAGCTCAATTTACATCTAGAAAAACAAAGAGGTCCTCCCATTGCAGTGGATCCACTTCATGTCATAAGTCACCTTCCTGAAAAAACAACATCTCGCAGGTGCAAAGAATGTGCCAAGTCCGGTAAACAGAAGAGAAAAAGTGTTCAGTGCAGAATACGTCAAGTTGCCTCATGTATTAAATATTTTGTACCGTATCATACATAAATAATATTTTCATGATTGTTCCTCAATAAATATTCCTAAAAGAAAACATTTTTAGATTGTTATTCTAGACTTCCACATACTGATATGACGTTTGTACCAGTGAGCATCACAAGTCTTAGTGAGTCGTAAAGGTCCGCTGGTGAAACGGTTTACCTTTGTTTTTTTTTAAATATGTGACATTGAAAACAATTCAAAATGAATCGACAATCAATATTTCATAATATCGGATTCGACTTATATGAATGAATATGTATGAAAAAACAATCGTATATCTTGATGAATAATTTTGGGCGTTAAAGAATTAAGAAGAAAAGTTCATATGAACATATGCCCTACACCTCTCAACTTTAAACTATAGAATGTTCAAATTCTATCTTTATTGATTGAAGAAACTTTCACAATGTGAAAAATTGTCACGTTTATGAATACTTGTCATAACAAGACCGCAATCCCAAACAGCACAGGATATTCTATGAATATTCTGACAAAGTTGAAATATACTTATTTTAGAATATTCTTATAGAATATTCTCAGAATGATCCCAGAATATTCTCATCCTGCAGAGAATATTCTATGAACATTCAATTTGACATATTCTCAGAATATTCTTTTCGAATGTTCTGAGAATATTCATTTTGAATATTCTGAGAATATTCAGAATCGTATCAAAATGAATAATATTGATGTTCCTATTCTTGTATCAATATTCATAATGTTTACCCTGACATAGCCTAATATTCTCTTGCCTCAATGCTGATTATCTCAATAATTCAGTGTAGTCATCTTGCTATTCATTTTATTTATAATAATAATAATAATAATAATAATAATAATAAGTTTTGTGGAGATGTAGTTGAAGTTTCAGGTTCGTAAAAATTCAATCACAAGATAGTAGGAAATGGGTATCTTCAAAGATATGATTACTCCTGACAAGCTTATGTTGGGCACAGTGAGATCGGCTTTTCTAGAGAAAAGGCATGCTTGTGTTTTGTTTGCATTGAAATCTACCAAGTTATTGGATCCCCATTCGAGAATTGTTGCCAAGTCCATATTCATGTTGTCAACATTTCTTCCCTCGTTCAAGTTATGACGCATCTTTGAAGATGTTTTCATCAAGATAAGTCCCCTTATTTTCCTTCATCATACAAAGGCGCTGAATCGACATAAACCGAGACAAAAATTTTCATCAGAAAATATAATTGTGGCAATAAGACAAAAACCTATAGTTTTTCAAAATTATAATAACAAGATTATTCTGACAATTTAGATAACCTTGCAAGGCCTTATTTGACAGACAAATTTTGCAATTAGTGTAATTGCAAGTTTGATCTTGCAATTAAGGTTTGATTGAGAGATTAATCTTGAAATTAGTGTAAAACTAGTTTGTTTGTTAAGCAAGTTGCGATGAAAAATGTTCTTTTCCGTTCAGAATTATATCTTGCATCTTGCAATCAGAGCTTATAATATTTTGACACTACATAGCTGTAATAACATTCTCTGCAGTTCTGTTTCAACAAACTCATTCACAAATCGTTGAAAATATTATTAGGAGTACTGGTGTACACTTTGTGATGACAAATAATATCGATTGATCATTTGTTTGAAGGTTGGCAAATTGTAACTGCAGAGAATTGCTATGGGTTCAGATTCCGAAATAAGGATTTCATAAGGGTCTTGAGTTTGGTAATATAATTGTAGGTGCGGATAATTTCGACAAATAATACCTATTTGTTCAACTTATTCTTTTATTGAGCGGAGCATAAGTATCCAACCTCATATTGTACATGTAAATAAAATATAGATAGCTATTTTTCTCCACTTTTGTATTATCTCAAATTTCCTAGTGAGGAGTCAACTTGACCTATTTTATGAGGATATTGATTCCTCATGAAGTAGTTTGGATATTATTGAACCATACAAATATAATAATTGAAGAAGTCGCAAATCTCGAACAGTAAAATTATATCACAAATATACTCAAGGTAAATGAAAAAATATACTCTGATGATCATCTACTACAGATGTTTTTTTCTCATTTATATAATTTAGGAATATTTCATAAGTGAGTGAAAACTCAAAAAACACCTTAAAAAATGAATGAATCGCTTTGTTTCATTATTTATAACTATACTCTCAGTTACGAATCGACATGATATAATATTTGTTCTTACGTTATAATCTAATTTTTTAGAGCCCGCTACCCGCGGCTTTCAAGCATTCAAAAAATCACATTTTCTATCCCAATTCGACAATGTCGGTAAAAAGAAGTTCATTGTTTCACCCTGATGGACGTGTTGATTTCATCTTCTTCGGTCGTTTCCGAAGTCGAGGTGACTTCTGCACTCTTCACGTAAACAGGAGCACCCTTACCTCTGACGTATTCTTCAGTCACATGGACCTCGGCGATATTCGAACCCGGCACTTCGAACATCGGCTCGAGGAGTAGAGATTCCTGAAATCAAGATTTGATATTATCGTGGATCGTGACAGGGCCTTCTCTTGAGGGTGGTCTAATGAAACTGTTCACAAATGACAAATTCTTTTTGGAAACACGTGGATTTTGATATCGAGGGAGACGATGTATATGACGGCTGTGCCCCGTCAGAACAGCTCGCGACAAAAGTAGCTTTGATAAAAAAGCGCAAAAATGAATATTTGGTCGTTTGAAAATATGGTATACCTACCATACTCATATATTTCAGCGACCGACATTTGAACCGCCCAACTACACGATTTCTTCTTTTATGACCCATTTAAAAATCATTGGAAGTAATATCAGCAACAAAAAAGGATACAATCTTCACAGTTCACCTGACCTTCACAGTTGACCTTACCTTCAAAGTTAACCCAACCTTATCTCAAATGTTTTATCGCACGAAATTTTGTTGTGTTTTGTTGAGCGTTGTCTGCGATGGATTCAGTCATATAATTTCATCTCTCTGATGGGAGCCGCTACCTCTTCGCGAATTATCGTAAGGAACAACAGTCAGGTAATACATCATCTTAAAGGTATCCTATCTATTTTTCCAAAAGTGTTCATTCTTTATTTAATCGAGTGAATATTGATCGATATTCGAGTTGCAACAGGATCAATGTGAATAATCAACAACTCGCCTGTCAACACCCACTCAATTATAAAATCAATTTCAAAATTATTCTAGGCTTTTTTAAATACGCATGGGTTAGTGCCGCACACGTTTAAAATTCTACAATGTATGTGGACACTTCAGTGGTTCTTGCGGGGTTGCCAATACTTTGCCCTCGGGGCAAATAACTAAGTGGCTTGGGGTTTGGCTAGCTAGAAAGCTGGTCATTCAATGAGTTCTCGTTGCTGATCTCGTCCTATATGGTGTATAGAAAATTAATGATAGCCCACTGAAATTAGGATTTTGGTACGAAATAATTCATACAACAGGTTTTAGTGTGTTTTCGGATATATATTGATGTCCTGAATAGTTCCTCAAAAGTACCCTACCATAGCGTGAACACATTACATTTGGAAACGCTCTAAAGATGCAAAAAAAGTTTTTTGAAAATGTTTTCGTTGACTTTCATGAAATATAGGGCTTACATATAAAAAGTGATATCAAATTCTATTTTGGGAATCTTGATAGACTGGAAGGATATTATGCATGAGTTTATAGGTTTTTATACGTATACATTGATGTATACATCCTCTAGACTGGAAATGGGTATCGAGAGACAACCCGCTGTGGCCGATGACGACAACTGAACCTCCCGAACATGATTGCCTTCTACACTTGATTTTTTGTAATTGTTCAAAAGATTGTGGGCCCTTGTGCGGTTGCCAGAGATTGGAGCTGCATTGTTTGGCAGTTTGTGGAAATATTCATGGTCTATCTTGTTCAAATACAGAGTCGATTGAAGATGATCGCTCGGTAAAACAAAGAATTCAAGAAAATCTTCCGGATTAATCTCATCCAAGCCTGGAATTTTGGTGTCATCCTGGGTTTGTTCGTCCGATCGATCATCTTCAATCGGCTCTGTATTTGAACAAGATAGACCATGACAATTTCTACATACTGCTAAACAATGCATCCCCAATCTCCGGCAACCGCATAATGGCCCATAACCTTTTGTACAATTACAAAAAATCATGTGTTGGAGACAATCGGGTTCGGAGTTCGGGAGGTCGAGTTGTCGTCGTCGGTCACAGCAGGTTGTCTCTCGATACCCATCCCCAGTCCAGAGGATTATTTTGGGATTTGTTAGAGTAAACCTTCCGAAATCAATGTATACGTCTGAAAACCTATAAAATCATGCATAATATCCTTCCAGTCTATTAAAATTTCCTTAATAGAATGTTCTATCATTAAAACCCTATATTTCATGAAAATCAGCGAGAACTATTTTTCCCAAAATTTGAACTGCGTTAAAGATGAAGAATATTGCTGGGACAAAAATACTTTTTTGCCATTAAATGTATATTCAAACAAATGTGAAAATCTCACAGTCATTTCCACACAGTGTTCATAAAATGAACAACAATGGTAGATTTCGAGAGAAAAACAACTACTTCCCTGGCTAATGCCACGCAGGATATTGAATTTCATCCTCCCGAAATCTATGCATCGACTCGTTTAAACGAATTCTGATACGTGATTTTTTCCTGAATGCCTATTGAGCCTCAAAGAAAAATTCACTAGCTTGTCATTGACAATTTGTATTGAAAAAGGTTTGGAGAGGAGAATTAAAGGTATATAGAAAAATATAAAATTTTCATTTAGCTTTGCACGTTTCGGGAACGAATCTGCTCCTGTTTTCAACATAAAAAATGGTTATTTGAATAGCAAATTCGTAGTTCTCAATTGGTGACGTTGGCAATCAAATGAGTTACAGGATGTTTTCATTAATTTTTCTCTTCTGGTTGTTATCTTCATTTCTAATGAATTTAATATTATTCCACTCTACCATATGTTGTCCGTCTTCAAATCGAAACTAGCTGAACATATCCTTACTGAAGACAACACTGACAAGCTAGTGAATCTTTCCTTCAGGCTCTCTGATAGAATAATTCTTCAAACGCAGTGACATTTTGGGGAAAATCATCATATACTACACGTATACAGGGTGAGTCATTGAAATGGGAAAGTGAGATAACGCCTCTGCTGTTTGAGAAAGATGAACAAAAATTGTTGTGATGATCTAGGCTCATGAGCAGCACATTTCCAAAATATTTCGCTTTATACAGGGTGACTTAAAATTGCGTGACGTATCAGAGTTATACTTTTTCTTATGGGACACCCTGTATTTCACTGCATTTTCGGATTCTCCTTTGTGAGCTGATTTCATCAATGCATCACACTTGCGTCTAGCAAGAATGATTACAGAGATATAGGGTGTGCAAGATCAAGATATTTCAACTTTAGGATTTTTTTGGGTCGAAACTATTCATTATTGGTCAAAACGGCATACATGTCCATATCTTAACTTTTGATTTACTATCTACTGATATTAAATTTGAATGAATACAGGGTGGTTCATAATTCTGAATTTTGAACTGACTGTGGTCAACATCGCACTACTCGGAGTGCTGAAACGGAGAGGCGAGTAATGGATTTGATTGCAGGAGACTCAGGAATTAGTGTTGGGAGAATTTCTACCCAAGAAGGAATCACAAAAAGTTCAGTATGGAGAATTATTCATGAACAATTACTCTACCCTTACCATGTGCAGAGAGTTCAAGCTCTCAAACCTCAAGATCTAGCGCCCAGGTTACAATACTGCAACTGGTTGTGTGATAATTGTCTTCAAAACCCAACTTTTCTGGAAAGTATCCTTTTTACCGATGAGGCAGGGTTCACCAGAGATGGAGTATTCAATTTTCACAATACTCATATTTGGGCTGATAAGAACCCATACACGGTTTTTGAATCAAATCACCAAGAAAAATTTTCTATCAATGTATGGGCAAGAATAATCTATAACTATTTGATAGGTCCCTACGTACTGCCTAATCGTTTAAATGGTGAGAGTTATTTACATTTTTCACAATATATGTGAGAGTGAAAGTGAGAATATCAATGAAGAAGAATTTGTTACTGATGAATCTCTCGAAGAAGATTGAATAATGACGAATATGCCTTGGAAAATTATTATATGTACAGAAAGGTTTGAAAACTTTGCACCATATGGAAACCATTTTACGCATTTTTTAGATAATTCTATCCCGATGAAAGTTGATAGTGAAGCATTATCTGTCATCTAAAACTATGAACATAAGATTTTTCCACTTGCTAGATGTGTGCAGGCAGATATGAAAAGGTGCTCATAATTGACAATATCTGTACCCCTACTTTGAGATTTGAAAATCCCACCTCGAATGAGTCAGATACTACAATATTGGCCGTTTTTGTAAAGTTCTCTGAATAGACAAGAATATGCTATAGCGTTACTTACTCAGATCGACTGATACTACATACTACTTTGAGCGTTAGACGTTAGTGCCCTTAGACGCGCCTATTTGGCATATGTGGCACGTGACCAAGTGGGCGTGTCTTTTCTGCTTGGAGGGTAAACATCAGAGTTGATTACATAGGTTCAAATGGGTGAAATGTGTTTCAAAATCCTTTCCTGAAATTTGTATTGCTGTTTTTTGTGAAATTCCGAAGAAACTATGATGATTGACCATAATCAGACCTTAGAGGAAGTGCATAACCGTAGATATTTGGAAATATTGATCTAGACATGAGGAGTATCATAGGTACCTAAAGTAGGTAGGTCTGGAGCCCAAAAGAAATTATTATAGGGAAAATTGCTTTTGATGTAGAATTTTGGCTAGTAGAGCATCTTAACGCCATAAACTTCCTCTTCAAAGTAGTACTGATTCCAGAATTGTTGGGCAAATACTTCACAATTAAAAAGAAAGACCAACTGAAGCAGGTACGACACCCTTCACTTCCATGAGTACAAGAACTGAGAAGGATTGAGCCAAATACAACAGGTCATAGAAGATATGAATGAATCAGAATAGAATCATAGATTAGACTCCCCATGAAGGAATCACCGTCATTTATATAAATGATGAAGTGATGAAGACTAGAAAATGTCTGTACATACCTACATTTTTTTTGAACTGGTACTGATTATATCATATCTTTATTGTAATTGACTTTGCGAATAGAAAAATAATGTTTTTGCTTGTATTAGAATGTCTTGTTTAATAAGAATATATAATTGAACATTTTCGAAATACGCCAGTGGTGACCATTCAAATTTCAACTCGAATTTACACACCGCTACTATTCATGGTTCACTTAGTGTTGGAGCTGATGCATGCAGTGCTGCCAATTCGCGTGTAATTACACGAAATTCGTGTATTATAGTTGAATTTCGAATTTCGTGTAGGTTTTGTGTGGTTATCAAATGCGTGTAATTGGCGTGTGAACGAGACTATTGGCAGAACTTGAAGTGAAAAGCTCTATAAATATCTTATGAAAAATGGTTCATTCTTCTCAATCAATATGGATGGAACCACTGATCATTCTACAAAAAAACACTGTGCATTCACAATTATTAGTGCGATCCTGTCAATTTTTCGATATGGTAGATCAGTGTCATGACACTGCAGATGACTTGATTAAATGTTTAATCAATACTATATCACAGAAGAGAATTCCTCTCTCATATATGGTTGACACAAAAAATTGCATGTTTGGAACAAATCAGTAAGCTGCTGCACTTTCGAAGAAATACTTTCCTGCCATTCATGTGCCTCTAAGGCTTGTTTGGAACCAAGATCTGTAGAAGACTTGCTAAGACACATTGGCTCAAAAATTTCATTTACTTGGAATTCATGATCTATGTTCTGGAGTTGTTGGTTGACTTCAATGCTTTATTTCCAGGAGAGTCACCATTTCTTCCAAACCAGAGACAGATAGATTACTGAGAACAATTTATTCAAACTTTTTAGAATTATCCTATTTTAAAAACAAATATGTATTTTCCATAAATCATTAGGATCCTCATCATTTTTTGCCACTACAAAAAGTATACATATATTGGCATTACAGGTGATGAGTCTTCAAAAGCTCAAATCTGACGATGTAAATACAGGGTGTCCCATAAGTAATTGAACAAAAGAAGTGGGGTGGTAGAGGGGGTCATTTGTCATCAAACTAACGGGTTATGTTGTTTTCTGAAAAAATGCGATCCATTCGAAAAAAAATAAAAACAAAAAGGCTGTTTTGAATAACCCCATATGTTATACCATTTAAATGGGCAACTTTTTCATATGATTGGTTATCTTCGTGGGGTAGTTTTTAAATCTGCCAGCGGCATTTAAAAATCAACTTAATTATTTCATTCGATGACGAAACTCAATGAAAACAACATTTTCCTCAGGTAATTGATAAGAAGTGATAAATGTCACAAAATTATTTCTGGTGAAAGGTGCATTTATGTGCATGACATTTGATGACATTTGTGAAAGAAAAAATCACAAATGTGACATGATTTTATGGTCATTGATTCTTTTTATAGAAATGAAAAAACATTAATAACTTTTGAATCATCAGTAATTGGATAACCACAAATACGGTTAGTTTGATTTGAAATGACCCCCCCTACCACCCCACTTCTTTTGATCTTCGACTTATGAGACACCCTGTATAACTGCGATTAGGTAATTGTACAAAACATGTTTGAAATTTTCGAAATTATATCTGTTGTTGCTCCTAATTAAGCACAAGCCTTTCATAATGGTTAATATTTTCCAGAGATTTCCCATTCTGAATGAAAATTCAAATTCACAAAGAGCTGATAATGAGTGAAGACAACATGCATTGTTGAATCACTTGGATTTTGTGTTGAACATGAATTTATCATGAGAAGAAGATTGGGGGAAAGTATTTCTACTGACAAATTCTGCTGGAATTCCGCTAGTTCCAAATTTGAGGAAGGTAATTTCCTATTTGTTGATTTTGCCTTTCCCAAATGCCTCAGTTGAGAGCTTTTTTCTGAGCTGAATAATATTAAAACGTTCAACAGAAATAGTTTAGCTTCAGAAAATAGATCATCCCTGATTTTTTTCTAGACAAGGAATCAAAAATGATAGAGGAATTCCGAAATTCAATACCTCACAAAAAATATTGAACAGCAACAAATGGATAAGAGGGCTGATGATTGTGCCTGATAGTTTCATGAAAGTATTTTGTTTTGTTTATATTTTATGTCTGATTAGTTTAATAGGATAATGTAAATGTTGAGTTTAGATTTTATTTTAGTTTTGTATTCTGTACCTGATGAGTTCTGTTTTTTATGTTTCAATAAATCCAATGAGATTTTGTAATTTATATTCATACAGATATAATTTCTTTCATAACATAGGCATTATTGGCACACATTCACGTTGGTTAGTTTTGTGTTCAGAATCAGAAGAGTTCCAAGGTCGAGTTTAGATTTTTTTTCAGTTTTGTATTCTGTACCTGATGAGTTGTTTTTTATGTTTCAATAAATTCAATGAGATTTTTTCATTTAAATTCATACAGATATAATTTATTTCATAACATAAGCATTATCGGCACACATTCACGTTGGTATAGTAGTTTTGTGGTCAGAATCAGTAGAGTTCCAAGGTCACAAACCATCTCACAGATCAACTCGCTGGATCAACTAAAACAATAACTAACCGTACAGATGCACGGTTCTGTTCATGCGCAAGCGCAACTGCTCTCGTGTAATAGTTGTGTAACTCCGATTAGAGTTTCGTGCAGTTTTGTCACTAAACATGTAATCTGACAGCAAGTGAACTGTAATTTTGAAGTTAGGTATTGGCAGCACTGAATGCATGATTTGTTCGTCCGCCATATTGGATACGCATCCTAGTCGAGTCATAAGACATACAGATTATGAATTCTGTGGTTATGATATAAGGAAGAAAATGTACAGGGTGGGCAGAATTGGGCGTTTTCACGGGCTATCTCTATAACTAAAGGAGTTATCGAAAAAATGATTCACATGTTATGGGTTCGATTTTAGGAAAACCCAAAATGGCGCATTCGGAATTTTGATATCTTCATTCGTTCCAGAGATACAGGGGGAAATTGGAAAATTGGCGATTTCGTTTTCATTTTCTGAGTACCTCATGGTGTGGAATATTGAAAATTTTCAGAAGTTCATTCATATAGTATGATGCGAACTATCCATTGGCATCATTAGGAATTTCATACAGGGTTACATTAAGATGATACGGCAGCCAATTATATTATTTCTTATGGAACACCCCTTATATTTTGGCACAGTTAGATAGTCCCAGGCGTTTCAATTTCAAATATATATATATAAAACTCTACTTTTTCCTTTCACAATTTCAGAAATATTCGCAAAAATGTATTCCCTGTGTCACATTTTCCATTGTTTCACGTCTGCATCTTTCGCAATAATCATTGAGGTTGGATTCATAATTTCGCAACTGTGAGAGAGATACCAATCATACACTCGATGACCTAGGGGGAATAACTTCAGTAATAACACTGCTCGCCAGCAGCTATGGATTCACCGACATTTGAAGAATATCGGTTGAAAATGACACTCTGTATATATTAGCAAAAGAAGGATTTCAGAAAAACCATATATATCGTCGAGATCACCAAAATGCTGAAGAACTGCGTGAAGACGTTATTTCAGCATTCCAAAAAGTGACACCCATTCACTTTACTAACGCATGAATTCTGTAAGAAAACGATGTTCATGCTTAGGCCAGAACGGAAGACAATTTATTATTATTATTTGTCTCATTCTGTATCTTAAATAGTTTGAATGTATTGATAACAATGATATCAAATCGAATAATTTCCTTCTTTTCTTATCAAATATTCATTTGTCTGGAAATAAGTTATTTGAATTGAATTTTCATTGATATTTATTTTCCTGCTTTTGTTAATGTATACAGTGGGTCATTTTAAACCTATATTTTCCTCTTGATAGCATTCTCCAGAAATATTGGTGATTCCATAGCTGCTGGCGAGCAGTGTTATCACTGAAGTTGTTTCCTCAAGGTCCTCGAGGGTATCATTGGCATAGTTCTCACAGTTGCGAATTTTTGAATCCGACCTCAATGATTATCGCGGAAGATACGGCGGTGTAACCATGAAAAATGTGACAAGCTGAATATATTTTTGCGAATATTTCTGAAGTTGTGTAAGAAAAAGGTAGATTCATATATATATTTGAAATTGGAACGCCTAGGACTATCTAACTGTGCCGAAATATACGGGGTGTTTCTTAAGAAAAAAAAATAATTGGATGCCGTACCTTTTCAATGTCATCCTGTATAGAATTTCTGATGGTGCCAATGAATTGGTCGCGTAATGCTATATGAATGAACTTTCGAAATTTTTCAATATTCCTCACCATAAAGCACTCAGAAAATAAAAACGAAATCGGCTATTTTTCAATTTCCCCCTGTATCTCTGATACGAATGAAGATATCAAAATTTCGAATGCGCCATATTAGGTTTCTTCAATATTGAACCCGTAACATATATATCGGTTTTTCGATAACTCTTTTAGTCATTGAGATAGCCCGTGAAAACGCCTAATTTTGTCCATCCTGTACTCTAGTATTGATTCCTGTATGAATTATTATAACCAACAAATTATTAGTGATCAGTGCATATTGATTTGATCATTTTGGCAATTTCAATAACTTTTAACGGGATGAAAAATTATCTTACGAAGTATCTTATCTGGAAATTGTTGTAGATGCACAATGAACCATGAAAACGCGTTGAGTGGTGGTTATTCATGAATGTGTCATTTGAAACTTGCATTTGTTCTTTGATTAGATATTCATTTACAGCTGCTTGATTGAAATTGATGCCAGCATATAAAATTCAAAATGAAAAAACATTTTTTTGTGCAAAAAATTACTTTATGAATAAGATCAGCGGTAATGAATGAATCTTACCATTATCGCTCTCAGCCCTCGAGCTCCCGTTTTCCTCTCCATGGCCGAATGTGCAATTGCCTTCAGAGCATCGGGGGTGAAAATCAGATTACACTGATCCATGGACAGTAACCTCTGATACTGCGAAATGAGGGCATTTTTAGGCTCAGTCAATATCCTCACCAACATGTTCTGGTTCAACGAATGGAAAGGTACTAGGACTGGAAACCTTCCAACAAATTCCTGTAACAAAAGATATTTGATAGAATTTAGTTGTTTTTAAAGATAATACTGAAACTCGGAAATACATTGAGGCCTTATAAACTGAAGGAAATGAAGTTACAGTAACAAAAATCAAAAAGGCACAGTCAATATGAAAAAAATGGATACGTATCAAGAAATACATTGAGATGGCGCATATTCTATCTAATAAAAATATTGATTTTTTCTCCGTATATTCAACAGAAAACAACTACTTTCCTGGCTATATGCCACGATGAACATTGAATTATACAGTGTCTCACTTCTAAGCACCCCTGTATCTTGCGTAATTGTTGAGTTCGGATTCTGAAATTTGCAGAAGCGAGAGATTTCCTTTCCTAAAATACACTCTATTACCAAGTGGGGTGTGATATACACTGCTCGCAGCAGCCATAGAACCACCCGCTAGTGTTTGGAAAAACCGGTTTTATAACCGGTTTAAACCGGTGTTCTCGAAAAAACCTAAAATAAAGCGTTTTTTACCAAAAGACCGGTTCTTGTCATATGTGAACTTATTTATAGGATATACACATTCACAGTTCACACATGCATCAATCACCGAAAGCACTATCAGTTTATGGTTTACGCCACGATAAATCAGGGGTTCACATACATAAGCTGATAAGTCAAAAATCGTGTTCTATGCGGAGCTATGTTGTTTTGGCAATATTTTTCGTTTCTAAATGACATTCAGTGACAAAATCAGCAAAATTGCTAACATTTTACAACTTGAATTCACGACTAAGTAACAAAACTAGCAAAGTTCATGACTGTCAGAAACAAACAAAGTAAAGTCAATCTCAACCAATGAAAATGCAGCATTCGTAATGGCCGCTAATGTGTTGCTGCAGTAACATGTTGAAGGTTTTAAAGCATTTTTGTTGAAAAAATTAATTTAAAAAGATTCCTGTGGATACGAAATCATGGATGTCCATCCCAGTGTAGTACCAGAAAATGGAGCAAGGAGAAGGACAATTCGACCTGAGAATTGGTAAGTGAATATGGCCCAAAAAAGCGAGGTAAGTGTGGTGGTTATCCAGGGCCCGATCTCTGTTGACAATGTTCACATCTTATGTGAATAGGTAATGTTGTTTTTGTGATCCCTGTAGTTTCTACTAAAACGAATCACCAGCAAAAACCTGCTGTGTTCAAACTCAGATCTGATGAGTTCAAAAGAAAACCAATAGAAAAAATCATAATTATGAATGATCTACCTACAATTTGTTGTCTAAAAATGTTTTTCTACTCACATAACTAAAAGGGCATTTAGCGTACGGATACGTACCACGCTAAATGATTGATTAATCACGGATTGACGATCTGTGATTTATTCAAAATATTAAACACGTTACCATGGCAACACAGTTCATTAAACACAGCTTCAGTAATTTGAGACATGTCTGGCCTGTCAATAGTATTAATTTTGTATCAGAATTATTCAAACAATTTTCGTTTGCATCAGAATTTTTCATTGATAATATATACGAAATGTATAATAAAAGAGTGAAATCAAAGAGAATGTTTTGGTACTTGCGTATCTCCAAGAAGTGTAAAAATGAAGCATCCATCTTTGAGAACAATTTATTTATTCTGCGCTAAGCAATAAACATGGGCTGGACACATCTACAACCAATATCACTTATACGTGTCTCGCTGGTTGCATGCATCAGTTGCATCTATTATGTTCTCAATTCCTATTCCTTTCGAATTATTTTGTAGGTTAGCAGGAATAGCAGGTATGTTAATGTAATTTTCGGAGTTCGTAGAAAAATCATAGTATGTAACGCGTTTATAAACTCTTCTAGACACTCGTTTATTAAACACTCGCTCCGCTCTGCTCCGCTTGTGCTTAAAATACTTGTTACTAAAAGGACGTTTATAACACTTGTTACATAATATACTATTCATTGAATTTTTCTCACTCTGATATGGATGAATTAATTGATTGCCCATGTACTTTTTGAGGCAGAGGTTATGCTTTATCATGAAATAAGTATGGGGAAATATACATACAGGGTATTCTATAATTTAATACCTATCCTGAAGAGTGATAAACGTTGGATAATTTCAGTAAAAAATTCTGCTTATGATTGTATGTGCGAAATCACTTCAGTCGTGAAATTCAAGGAGTTGATACAGAGAAAATTATCATTTTTTCCTTATCTCTGTAAAACTACATTGCATGATTTTCTTGGTGGATGCAAAGTACAAGGGATTTAAAATAGAGTAAAATAGAGTACCTACCGTTCAGTGGTATTTCATTTTATTTTTCGTTATTTTTTCTCTAATGTTCCACCTATCATAAAGTGCATGAAATAGTATAATGGGGTGGGCCACCACCTCGGTCTCTAGAAGGCTAACCACTTATCTTCTTGGAATTCTTCCTCTCTAGGAAGTTGCATGTCAACATAGGCTACCATTTGAAATTATTTCAAAACATACAGGGTGTCCACAAAAACCGCAAAATACCAAAGTTGAACTTTTTTCAATCGAACACCCAATATATTATTTCATTTTGAGATTCTCCCTGGTGAGCTGATTTCAACAATCCATCATACTTGGGGTCTAGCAGTTATAATTACTGAGATATAGGGTGTGAGAAATCGAGATTTTCCAAGTTCAAGAATTGTTTGTGTCTAAACCATTCATAATAGGTCAAAACGGCTCACATGTCCCTATCTCAACTTTTGATCAACTATCTACTGACATTTAATTGAAACAAATACAGGGTGGTGCAGAATTCAGAATCTTATTAATTATATGCATATTATACGTAGTGGAATAACGTATACAGGATGTTTCATGAGAAGACTCACGTAGTCAAATGGTTAATAGGGAAAATCAACATGAGTTGATGTATAAAAACATTCTTTGACCCTCCATAACGAAGATACAGAGTATTATGTGAAATTGTTAGATAACTTTGATGGCCGATATTACAGAAATGATTCATCGTAATCTGCTCAAATTTGACAGCGACGTATCTCTACTGAAACTATTCAAGATAACATATTATGAAAAAAAATATCCAGGTCGGGACTTGGGAAAATTTCATGTTTCATTTTTATATCAAAAAAAGTTCACTTTTTGACCACTTTTCTCGAAAAATTCCATCAGATTCAGATAGATCAGACAAAATGCTATCAGAACTGCTCTTCATTTCACTCGGCACACTTTTACCGGTTCAATAAAAAAATATGGAACAAAATCGTTCGAATGAATTTTAAATTTCGACCTGGCTGATAACTGTCAACTTTCAACTGGTATCATGTGAATTGATTTTTTCTAGTAATAGTAATTAGAATAGTAATTGACAGAAGAATAGACGAGCATAAAAAACAAGATATTTTTTATCGAAATTCCAGATAGATATAATTATTCCTGACTTTGTTTTATGGGTTTCAATTGAAGTGATGATAAGATATCTAGTAGGCCATGTTTTCCATTTGTGTGATGAGATGTGACGTTTGTTGATAATTCGAACTGATAGGTAGGTACTAGGCTAGTACTAGTTAGGTACCAACTGATGAAATTACAATATGAGGATTCATGAGCCCATATTATGGTTATTCATCAAATCAGTTATGCCATCATGCATAAACTCAGCTCCATTTTTTGTTATTGATACACTTCACAAGTGATATAAGGATGCATTTGCCATTTATTCAAGATTATTCCTAATGTTCATCATCGTGAAGGTTTAACTGATACGTATTCTGGGGTCTGGAAATATTTTATGGAATTAAACATAGCATATGACATTTGGATTTTCGTCTTGTTCAGCATTCGAAATATGAAGTGGCACTAGGTGCAAGAATATTTCGATTACCAGTGTTTACCTATCAATAAACGTCAAGTTACATAAATTAGAAACAGGGCATACTTTATAACAAATTTATAAAATAGAGTCACGAGTAATCATATCTACCAAGAAGATCGGTCAAAAACTAACATGTCAAATCATAAAAAAATCAGAACTACTCTTTTCTGTCAATTTCTATCCAATAAAAATGTACAAAAAAATCAATTTACAACATCGATAATTTGCACAAAAGATGAATATAAATTTGTTGGCAGGTGTTCAATCATTTGAGCAATACCTTCATTGATCCTATACAATCTTCCAAGCTAGGTTTGTACTATGGAACAGGGGTTGGAGATCAGATAGTTTTCAAGCTGTCCGATTTAACAGCTAAATATGTGTATCTTCTTTATAAAAACGGGTTTTACTTGACCCCTTTACTTCATTTTGCAATGCCTAAAAATCTTTAGTTCAACACGTTTTTCTTTTGCAGAAGTTCATAGCCAACTTGCTGTGTTTTTCTAATGAACTCTCTTTATAAAATAACTTTCATTTTATACTCAATCCATTTCAAAATATACTGAATAAATATAGAATAGGAATTGTAAAATACCTGTTACAACCTGTCTTCCAATCCATTGTTGTGTGGATCAAGGATGTGGGCCGTAATCGAATTCGCCAGTAAAGAATGTAGTGTTGTACCATATTCATAGATTGTTGATGACAATTTATGTTATTGGCCGAACAAAATAGCTCGTCAGGCAGATTTGAACCAATTGGTGATTCAAAGAAGGACCCTCCACCTCTTTGGGTGAAGTATAATATCAACAAAATTCATCATTTGGCTGGTACATACTTACATAATACAGTGTCTTTCAAAAGTATCGGAACGGTCTCATATTCCAGGAACGGCTTGAGAAAAATTCAGGAAATTTTCTACAGGGTGATTATTGGTGATGTCCGATTCAATGGTGGCATCGGCAATGTTGCCAAGTTTACAGTTTTTCAGATATTACGAGTAACTTTATTTTTTCAAATGAAATACCCCATTTATTTTTATTGCAATTAATTGAGCGCCTCCTAATTACTTGAGTCCCTGAATATCAGATTCGTAATTAACGTGATTTTCGAAATATGACAACATAGCATTTTCGTTAAAAAGTTCTGGCACGGTCCCATA